TTTTTTTCTACAGCCCTTAAGGCGGTCTAAAAAATCGCATGCGCTTTGTTCTGCTAAAATCCTTCACGTCCCTAGAATACATCGTGTAATAATTCATAATGTTTTCTAGGAAGTGGTGTTCTAGGTAATAGCATGAGCCTTTCATGCTGCAGGAAAACGGTATTATGTCTTTCGTAGCTCGGGATACACAAAAATTAAGGCTGCTTTGGTCAATCATCTTTGCAGAACTAGTTATCAAAACGCCTATCTCAGTTTCTCATCAGAAGTCCAGTTCGCTTTATTCTAATCCCCGACACGCTACCTAACTACCACAGCCAGCATTCTCTCTTCTTCCGCCAGTCCAAATGCAGTTCCAATCCATGATGCCCTCGAATGTTTGCAGGTGGTTAGTGCTCTCTCGTCTTCTCTACCTCTGCATCCCCTCTTCTTACTCTCCCTTCATTCCTTTTTGGTACTGTTTGAGGTTTGCTAGACGTGAAGAGACGAGGTAGACCTGGGACACAACCACGTTGAAGCAATCGAAACGGTGCACACTTTGTAGGATGTTTGTCAACTTTTGGTGTAGTAGTGTTGTCTTAACGGTTGCCAAGGCTTCCCACAAATTCAAATCCGCTTTATTGTGGCTTTGAGTTGCTCGAAATAGGATAAGAGGCTGCGAGGTAAAAAGATAACATCATGGTTTTCGACTAGGCCCTCCAGATGGTTGCTCGTACAAATGGCAGCATTGTCCAAGAGAAATGTTCAAGTTAAAACTAGAAGAAGGGCACAATATGGAGCTGTAGAGAGGTTAATGCATGTTGTGGATCAAGCCCTTCTAGCAACTCTTCGTCAGGAAGAACCGAATACGGTAAGGTCTCTTGGCTTCCCTACCTTTGAAGAATATACAGGCTTCGACCAGATGGAGTAAAAGTTTGCCCAGAAGGATGAGCCCATCGTGGAGGGAGAGGAGGAGACGGAAGGAAGAAAGCATTGCTTAAACAAATTTGAATGGTTTGCAGTGTAGGATTTCTTGCTCCAGTGTTATATTCAACTGCGGAGCCTTCCGCAACTTTTCTACATACGTATTTTGCAGCAAAGCTGGTGTCACATAAACCTCTGGTCTCCGCGTAGGCAAACCCATTGACAACCTTAAGGGTAATTCAATTTCAGATTTAGCCAAAGAATAAGGTTTATTATGATTAGGTTCTGTCTAGCCATGCTAACTCATGCAAAAGGAGGTAAATTTTGAAAC